GGTTCGATTCCTAAGTCAGAAAGAATCCCCTGCAGGAGGAAATGGCAACCCACTCCAGTTCCTTGCCTGGAAAATCCCATGGATAGAGGAGTCTGGTGGGCTAAGTCTATGGGAACACAAGGAATCGGACAAGACTGAGCACACATGCATGCTAGTGCATGAGGAGCACTAGAAACATGCCTGGTAGGTAACAATTCTTCACATAAATGTTAGCCATTATTTGATCCATGGGTCTCTCACAACTAACCCACCAACTGCTTCCTTCTCCACATATATGTGTCTCTTTCAAACTGCAGCAAATAGGAGATGTGAATGCAGGCAGTGACCATCAAAAGGGAGCACTCATATTTGCAGGGTTCTCAACCTGTTGCCTTTGGAACAAGCACCCATCTATGATACAGGTGGCCATGTAGCAATGACTTAGGCATAATGAAGCAGCTTTATGCCACTATTTCACTACCTTTTTGGAGAAGGAAATGGCAACCCACTCCAGTATGCTTGCCTGGAGAATCCCATGGGCAGAGGAACCTGGCAGGCTACAGTCCATGGGGTCACAGAGTCAGACACGACTAAGTGACTGAGCGTGCATGCATGCACCACCTTTTAAATTTTTTTTATTTTTATAGAATTTTTAATGGATACTTTCCATGTACAGTTCTTCCAAAATATTCATTGTGTTGTACAATACACCCTTGAGCCTATCTTATACCCAAGAGTATGTACCTCCCACTCCTCTACCCCTATATTGCCCCTCCCCGCCCCTGGTAACCACTTGTTTGTTCTTTATATCTGTAAGTTTACTTCTTTTATGTTAAATTCACTAGTTTAATTGTATTTTTTAGATTCCACATATAAGTGATATCATACAGTATTTATCTGACTTATTTTACTTAGCATAATGTCCTCCAGGTCCATCCATTCCGCTCATGTGGCAGCAAATGGCAAAATTTTGTTTTTTATGGTTGAGTAGTATTCCATTGTGTGTATGTGTGTGTGTGTGTCTGTGTGTGTGTATACAGTTTACATCCAATTATACAAATTTACATCCCTACCAACCATGTAGGAAGCTTCCCTTTTTTCCACATTTTCACCAACATTTATAATTTGAGGACTTTTTGATGATAGCCATTCTGCCAAGTTGGAGGTGATATTGTGATTTTTGACTTACATTTCCCTAGTGATTAGTAATGTTAAGTATCTTTTCATGTGCTCATTGGTTATCTTTATTTCCTCTTTGGAAAAATATTTATTCAGTTCTTCTGTCCATTTTTTAATAGAGTTGTTTTGTTTCTTTTACATTGAGTTACATGAGCTGCTTATATATGTTGGATATTAATCAGTTATTGGTCATATCAATTGCAAATATTTTCTCCCATTCAGTAGGTTGCCTTCTCATTTCATCAATGGTTTTCTTTGCTGTGCAAAAGTTTTTAAGTTTAATTAGATCCCATTTGTTTATTTTTGCTTTTATTTCCTTTACTTTAGGGAAGGAGCCACAAAAAAACATTGCTTTATGTCAAGAGTGCTCTGCCTGTGTTTTCCTCTAGTAGTTTTATAGTATCTGGTCTTACATTTAGGTCTTTAATCTATTTTGAGTTTATTTTTGTATATAGTATTAGAGAATGTTGTAATTTAATTTTTTTACATGTGACTGTTCAGTTTTCCCAGCACCATTTACTAAAGAGACTGTCTTTTCTCCCCTATATATTCTTGCCTCCTTTGTCACAGATTAATCGGCCTTAGTATGTGGATTTATTTCTGGGCTGTCTAACCTATTCCATTGATCTGTGTCTGTTTTGTGCTGGTACCATATTGTTTTGATTATTATAGCTTTGCAGTATAGTCTGAAGTCAGGGAGTCACCACCTTTCTCAAAGAGTGTTAGGTGCATAGCAGTCACTCTGAATTTCAGATAATTTTCCACAATACTGAAAATGGAAGAGAGGCCATGACCATCTGTTACTAGTAAATCTGGGGTCATGGTGAACTGTCTACCCCTATATCTACCTCAGCCAACAGGGCTGAGCTGCAGTCTGTGCCCTCCACCATTACACTGTGACATGGAGTCTGATGTCAAGTACTCACTTCTGGAACCTTGAGACTTCTTGATATTGCATCTTCTATCATCCTTCCAGGCACAAGGACTCTCCCTTTGTACTCAGGTCCCATGGACATGAGACTTCCCTCCTTTCAGTGTGGGCTCTTTAGCCATGAGGTGCATCTTGTTTGATTCCTGAGGCCACGGCAGCCACTTCTCTAACTTGTGGCTCAGTACTCACTACATGTTCCCTGGACATCTGCTCTTTGCTTTGCATGATTCTGGACTGTCTACCCAGTTTGCCTGGGCTCCTTTAGACCCCAGTCAAGGCAAAACTACTCTTACCCTACTCACACCTCCAAAAAACTGATGCTTTCCTGAGCTATACTTTATTGTATGAACTCATGGTTCCATGTTCCTGCCTTTGACTGAGTTCTCATATTCTGACTCCTCATTTAGACCCATAAATGTAGGGGAAAGGAAACTATTCAAAGATGATGAGGAAACTACATACTAACTGCAAAAAGAGCAATATATTGTGCTCACACCAGGTTTTTGAGCAAATTAAAAGGTGGTACAAAAAAGAGAGAGAGACATTTCTTTGAAGCATAATGGAAAATAGACATGCAAACGCCAGGATCTACCTGAACTTGGTTCTACTGTATGTGTTGGAGTCATGATAAGTATTGGAAAGGGCTCTGAATCAGAAGTTAAAGTGGTGGGAATCCTGGCCTCAGCTCATATCAAAGCTCATTAGATGACCTAGAGAAATCATTTAAACTCTCCTGACTGAGCTCCCCTTAAGTCAAACATATCTATTATACCAACCTCAGGTTAACATTAAATATCAATATTGATGTGACTAAAGCAAATTAAAATCCATACATCTACATGTCTCAGAGAAAGCTGGGAACTTGGATGGTTACTGGCACCAGTCTCCTATGGAGAAGCCAAATCAGATTGTCTGTAAATGTTTATCTCTTATTAAAGCCTTTATCTCTAGGAAAGAAGTGAGCAACCTGGACCCAGTCATACAAGGTTAAAACAGTGTTTTCAACAGTCATTATGTAAAGACATAAGAAGTATTGTTAAGGCCAGTTTTACAGAGTGTGATCAAGGATGTTGGGAGGATTATCAAAATCCTGAAGATCCTTGTGAAACAGGTCTTGATTTCTTGCTTATACATATGACTGAAAGGATAGAGTCGATTTTTAAAGAGGTGTAACTTCCTGGGTATGACAGCATAAATGAAAGTGTAGAGGGATCCACAGTGCAATCGGCTACTGCTTCTATGAGCACCAGTGCATTTGTCCTGGGCACCTGCTCTTTCTGGCACCATTTCTACTGGTTCAAGAATACAAATCCCAGGGACTTCCCTGGTGGTCCAGTGGCTAAGACTTTGCACTCCCAATGCAGGGGGCTCAGGTTCAATCTTTGGTCAGTGAACTAGATCCCACCATGCAACTAAGAGTTTGCATGCCACAACTAAAAGATCCTGTGTGCTGCAACTAAGACCCAACACAGCCAAACAAGTAAATAATAGATTTTAAAAAGGAATACAAATCCCAGATGGATTCAAACCCATGACTATAAGCTGTCACTCTGTTGGTCTGAGAGTGAGTCAATATCATTGTCTTGCCTGTGTTGTGTGTGAGGTTCTTTTAAATTTATTCAGCAAATTTTATTGAGTACCTATTCTGTACTAGACAATATGCACTTGAATTCTGGTAGCTGGATCTTGATGACAAGGCTCAGATGGAAACTAGGTAGTTCAGCTTCCCAGGGAAGACTATTCATTCAAACTTCCAGAATCATTCACACTTTTTGTTGGATACTTATTGTATACTTACTAAGATTAGACTAATCAAGTCTAAGAACATGAAAACTGTCTCATCTAAGCATACTGAGAATTTCATTTCTCCTCCCCACCTCTGTGTGAACTGAGAACAGTTGTGCTCCACACATTTCCTTAAGGTGGAGCTGGCAAATCACCTTACCTGAACCGAGAAGAGGGCTGTGGATCTAAGCTCAAAGCATGCAGATTGCAATGAATACCTGTTATTTGTCTTGGCACAGAGGGGAGGTACCCCAGTAATACACCGGTGGCTTCAGAACAAAGCCTTATCACCGTAGTGCCTGTGTATGGAATTATGCAAAGTCTTCAGACTGAAGGTATGAAAATATTTGCAAAATTGGGGAGTGAGGGGAAGGGGCAACATTTATTCTTGGATGCAGAAACTTCTAACATCTGTATTTAAACGGGGTATTAGGGTAGGAGTTGCTTCAGTGGGAGAGAAAATTTTGAGACATGGAAAATTTTCAAAGGGCAGTGTTTAAGTCAGCTGATATGAAAAGACAACTTGAAATTCCAGGGCAAAGACATAAATGAAGATGTAACCATAGGAAAACATGGAGAAAGCCTGAAACATTTCCTAAACAGAGAAATCTGAATTTTAAAATAAATCTTCTCAAGCTTGAGGGGTGCTAGAAAGGCTAGTAAGACAAGAAAGGGGGAACCTACTAACACATTAGTAAAAAGAAAGCGGAAAAAAATCAAGTACTTTAAAATGGCCACAGAATAATGTGATTATCACAGTCAGTGTTTATTGGGATGTTTTATGTCTGCTCTTTGTTTTTAAGGAAAGAGAACAGGAAGCCTATTAGATGACACATAGCCCGGAAACTCCCCCTAAGAATGAGCACACTTGCTTCAGTTTCTTAGTTCCTCAATTTTTAAAGACTCCATGATGGGCTCCGTTCTCAGAATAGTGCTTCTCTTGAAGGTACAAGCTGATAAATAAAGGAAGCAGGGACACAGCAAGAGCAGCGGGAGCACAAGTTTCCATTCTGGATGTAACATCTGAGGACAAAAAGAATCATGAGAACTTTTCAAGTATTTCTGCATTTCTTTTCTGGTGTGTGTATTTGGGCCTGTTTTTGCATTCTCTTTTAGGCTCCTGATCATGACGATGAGAATAGCAAATCACAAGTCACTGTTGGTACTGTTGTTTATAATAGCCTCTTGGATCACTTTTGCAGTTATCCAAAACTCCACAAAGGTAGGAATTGCTTTCTTTTTTGTGTTTCACAAAACTATATTTTTACGTGACACTTCACTAGTTTTAGAAAAGTCCAAACAAGCAGACCTATAGAGTCTAGAAGGGGAGTTTCAACAGCTGACACAACTTTTAAGAACCAATGTACTTGATAATCATCATGCAATATGGGAGAGTATAATATTGTGTGTGTGTGTGTATATCTACACTCACACTCTTCATCACTTATATCTGTGTTGCAACTGTCTCCTCCCAATGTTTAGCTTGTCTTTACACCTTCTCTAAGGAAATTCTGTGGAGTAGGAAATGGCAACCCACTTCAGTATTCTTGCCTGGAAAATTCCATGGAGAGAGGAGCCTAGTGGGCTATAGTTCACCAGGTTGTGAAGAGCTGGACACAGCTGAGCATACATGCACAAGGAATTTCTGAATAACAATATTTTCAGGTGTATATAGTAAAATTTATTTGTATTTTTTCACTGTTAATGCTTTTTAACTACTAATAAACCTTTTCCTACACCTCTGTCAAATTTTTATCTAAATATTCTACTTACAGTTTTAAAGGTTGCTTTATTTAGACACTGAACCCTTAATATACCTGGATTTTTTTGGCTGATTTTTCTTTTATTTCTGTATGGATAACCACTTTTTCCAGCTTTTTTCATTTTGTGATCCTTTCTTTCCAAGCTGATTTACCAGGTCATTTTTATTGTATATCAAAATTTTTAATAAGTACAGGTCCCTCTGTAGGTTCTTCGTTCTATTCCATTGATCAATTTGCCTTCCCTGTATCAATAACACATGGCTATATTTGACAGAGTTTCATAATCAGCTTTGAAAACTTGGAGGTCAAGTTACCTTTGCTTAACCTACTTTAGAAGGTTTTCAGCCAGTCTTGGCCCTCCCTCTTATATGTTTTGGAATCAGTCTGTCAAATTTAGTGAAAAATTCTACTTAAATTATATGTGTATTACATTAGCCATATAGATCAAATTGAGAAAACTGACATGTTTATAATATTACTATGCTGTTTATCAACATGTCATCTCTCTCCACCTACACAGGTCTTCTTCAAGATCTTTCACTAAATTTTATAACTTTTGCATTCAGGTCTTACACATCTTTTGTTAGACTGATACCTTGGTACTTCATACTTTTTTTGTTGCTATTGTAATGACTGTTTTTTTAAACACATTTTCTAATTGCTTGCTGCTGGAATAAAGGAATCCTACTGATTTTGCATAAGGAACAGTAGGGTCTTACTTTCCAAGATCTCAAAAGACTTATTAGTTCATAGATTCAATATCATCTAGATCTCTCTGAGGCCAAAAAAGTATGCTTGTTCTAAAGCTTTGTTTTTATATTTGTATTAATTCTGTTCCTTCCCTTGGATGTCTTCCCTTTGCTGAACTTGATAATACCTCTCTCTCAGAGTTACTTTTATTGTTTGACCAAGCTGTTAGTTCCGCAGCCAGGAGTTTGGAACCTGTGCCCCTTGCAGTGGAAGTGCAGAGTTTTAACCACTGGACAGCCAGGGAAGTCCCTCTCATGAGTTACCTTCGATGAAACTTTTTGCTAATTCTTGGTTGTGTGCATTCTTCCACCTGAAGTTCTGTGGTGGCCAGTCTGGGGCGCCATTATCTGTTTCCTGCAGCATGTTTGTGGCATAAATGCTCCCTGTTTGTCTAAAGTGTTGCCAGGCACACTGGGTCCTACTGACCTCCGCAACTTAAATATCCACAGTATTTATTCTCCTGAGAGTACAGAATTCCCTGTCCTAGCTGCCTGACCCAGCACAGGCGGGGAAATAGGAAGGTATCACCCTGCGTGGTTTGTCCTCCTACGGGCCTCACCTCAGCCCCTCCGACTCCAGTTGCCAACCTCCTCCACGGTGGCAGTGTCCCCGGAGAGACTTCCTTTTCTACCGAAGCCTCCCCTATGTGCATTTGCAGCCATGGGTTCTTCCTTCATCTAATCTCATCTGCCTTTCAGTTTTCAGGAGACTGCTTGCAAGTTCTGGTCCATATAAGGTGGTTCTTCCTATTTCCCAGAAAGTTAGAAAATTGTTAAGTTCTTTTCTGCTATTTATATGATCTTATGGTGGGAAATTGAGGCGAGGAAAGAAAGGTAAAGTGTTAGTCACTCAGTCGTGTCTGACTCTTTGCGACCCTATGAACTGTAGCCCACCAGGCTCCTCTGCCCATGGGATTCTCCAGGCAAGAGTACTGGAGTGGGTTACTATGTCCTTCTCCAGGGGTCTTCCCGGGCCAGGTATTGAACCCAGGTCTCTGGCTTTGCAGGCAGACTCTACCATCTGAGCGATCAGGGAAGCCCAATCAACGTTATAATACGTGCTTATTCCTCCACCTTGAATCAGAATTTTCCTGTTGTTTTTCTACCAAAAAAGTTTGCACAGAGAATATTATTTTACTCCACTGAAAATCATTTATGATTTTCACATGAAGTTGTAGCAATTTAAAAATATCTGATAATGTGCTGTGATAGTTAAAAAATGTTACTATAATAATGTTCTTCAGATCCTCTAGGTACTTAGTCATTTTTTAATTTAGTTCCTATAGCATCTAATGAGAGAGACTTTTCTAATTTTTAATTATAATTGTGGCTTTTTCTATTTCTCCGTTTAGTTTTGATAGTTTTTGTTTCACATATAAATACATATATATGTAGGCATGTACACATTTAAGGTTGTTATGTTTTCAGACAAATTGACCCTCTTATCACTCTAGGATGTCCATCTTTATATCTGGTGATACTCTTTGCCTTAAAGTCTACTTTAACATTAATATCAGCTTTTTTTATGCTTTAATGGCATACTGTTATTTTATCCATTCACTTTCAACCTATAGGTATCTTAGTACCTAAATTACATTCCTCATAGATAGCAAGTAGTTGGGTCTTGCTGTTTTATCTCTGCCTTTAAAAAAAACTTAACACTCCATTTACTAAAAATAATTCTAGTAAAATATTTTTTCCTACAAGGTATTACTAATCACGTAGCTGGAAATATAACAGCTTCACCATTTTATAAATGAATTATCTCAAATACTGAAATATTGATCACAAATTTATTAAACAAAAATTCTTCCAAAATTTGATAATACCATAAATTTTAATGCCAAACTGTAAATTGAATATCAAAGTATTTTAAATATTTTAAATATTTCAAAATATTAAAATACATACAAATGAATGCATTGATAACAAAACATTATTTTATGCATACATACTGTCTTTTAAAAATCTGCAAACTCTACTATTCTATTTTATTTACTATAATATTTACTATAATATAATTAATATAATAATATATAATAATTATGTATTATTATATAATATATAGTATAATATAATAATATAAAATATATATGATTATATAAATAAAATATAAAGTATATTATGATATATAATATAATTATATATACTATAATATAATTATATAATATGTAATAATATAATACATAATATAATAATAATATATTTACTATAATATTATAAAATTGTAGTTTTTAAATAATTATATGTATTTTAAAGAAATTAGAAGATAAACACATAGTATTTTATGTTAATCCATGTATTTACCGTTTCTGAGGCTTTTCATTCCCTCCTAAAGACCTGTGTGTCATTTCTGGTATAATTTCACTTCAGGGTGAAGAAACTCCGTTGGCACATGTTTATTACGCAGGTTCAGCGTAGTTCCTTCTTTCACATTTCAACTCTCCTCTGGCGTCTGTCAGTTTGTGGTCACTCTCCAGGGCTTTTAAAAGAGATTTGCAGTGGGGGAGGGGAGTGTCAGAATTTATCATTGTTATCTACAGGAAAGTTAGTCCAATACAAGCTACTCTGCCTTTATTGGAAATTCAGAGGTATTACTATGATTCACTGAGTTCTCAGAAATAGAATTATTGGTAAAAGCAGTGAACATTGTTAAAGGTCTTATTATATGCTATAGACCTGTTTTCCAGATATGTTATTTGCACCTAAACCAGCAGTGAAAGAGAATTCTAGCCTTATTGCATACTTGCAATACTGGGCAGCTCATGTGTATGTAGGCATGTATACATATATATATATGCATTTATATATATGTAATTTTTTTATTTAGTTGGCTGTGCTGGGTCTTGGTTGCAGTGTGTGAAATCTTTCAGTTGCAGAATGTGAACCCCTTAGTTGTGGCATGTGGAATCTAGTTCCCTGACCAGGGATCGAACCCAGGCCCCTTGCATTGGGAGCATGGAATCTTAGCAAGTAGACCACCAGAGAAGTCCCTGGGTAGCTCACTTATAGAGATACTTGCCTGAGATTAAAACTTGACTCTCTTGTTGACCAACTGTGCAGGTTTGGCTAAGTTTCTTAACTTTGAGGTAAACCAGTTTCATCTGAAAACTGGGTTATAAAAATAAATACCTCATATATTATTGTGAGGATTAATGAGTTAACATATGAAAAGCATTTAGAATAGTACCTGGCACATCCTGGTTGCTAATACCATCTCTGTAATTTGATAAATAAAATGTTTTTATTTTTAAACAATCAGAACATGTCAAATAATAAAAAGTAAAAACATTAACCACAGTAACCTAGTCCAACACAAGATACTTTGCCTTTATTGGAAATTCAAAGATATTACTGGGAAGATTTATACCAAAAAGTGTCCTTTACAGAATTATAAGTAACAGAGAAAAGATGAATACAATAAATATCTAAAAATATAGGAATAGGTGAAATATTAAACTATGTCCATAGGTTGGAATATTACTTGGACATAAGGTGGAAAATTTTTAATGACACTATTTTTAACCAAAATTAATTGGTAAATATTAAGTGTGTTCACAATCATGTGAAATGGTTACACAGGATAAGAGAAAACCGCCAAAATTGTTAAGAGCGGTTGCTGTGATCATGACTGGTTATTTCCTATAGTGTTGTGCCATTCTCTCATTTTTAATAATGTCAGTGTTATCTTATGATTAGAAAATAAATATTTTATAAGCCTATGTCTCTTATGTCCTGTTAGCTAAAATAGTAATCTGAGAATTACTAGTAAATACCACAGACTGTTTAATCAAAGTATAAAAGTGAAATAGAAAAAATAGATAATTGTATATTACATAAAATCTCCATGCTTCTTGAAAATTTTCTTAAAGATTTATTTAAATGACTGAACTCTAATTTTAAGATAAAAATAATACAACAATAAACATCTGTTCTCTGCTATGCAGTTAAAAAGCATTTTCTAATTTGGTCTTCACAATTGCCCAATGAAAGTATATTCTATGATCACCACTTTAAGAAAGAAGATCCTAGGGTTCTTTGCAGTAGAATGGCTCACCCAAAATAGATTAGTCAGTGATGGGAATTCCTTGGCAGTCCAGTGGTTAGGACTTGGTGCTTTCACTACCAAAAGCCCAGGAGTTCAATCACAGGTTGGGGAACAATCTCGCAAGTTGAGTGGTGTAACAAAACAACAAAATAGATTAGCCGGTGAAAAGTGAAGTTCCACCACCAGATTTAAGGAAAATCATTTTTCCTATGAAACATGGATGATAATGTAATCTCAATATCATTTTATTTTTAATGTTTCTACCACTCATCATTTGATAAAAGAGACATTGACTAGCCCACCATAATTATCACATTAAATAGGCACACTTTCTGCCTTCTCTATTGTATTCCTTGTCATTTCAGTTATGGACTGTACTCAAGTTGCCCTTGTCCCTCCATCACTGGAATTTCATCACGAAAACACACCCTGAATTACCACTGAATCCAGCAGTTTCACCAGCAGAGACTGAGCCGAGGATAAGGAGGATCGTGGAGAAACTAGACCAGCTGATCCCACCCAGACCCTTCACCAACGTGAGCTGCACCACCAGCGCCACACACAGCAGAGCCAGCCTCCTCAGCCCTCGGGACACGCACTGCAGGGGGGACCAGCTAGACGTCCTGCTGGAAATGAGGGATCACCTGGGACGCAGGAAGGAATACGGCGGGGATTTCCTCAGGGCCAGGGTGTCCTCCCCAGCCCTGAAGGCGGGTGCTTCTGGAAAGGTGACAGACTTCAACAACGGCACCTACCTCGTGAGCTTCACCCTGTTCTGGGAGGGCCGGGTGTCCCTGTCTGTCCTGCTCATCCACCCCAGTGAAGGGGTGTCGGCTCTCTGGAGGGCCAGGAACCAAGGCTACGACAGGGTGATATTCACAGGCCACTTTAGCAGAGGCACCGCCCAAGTCAATACTGACTGTGCCCTGGTTTTAAACTCAAGTGCTGAACTGTGTGAATACCTGGATACCCGAGACCAAGAAGCCTTCTACTGCGTGAAGCCTCCACACATTCCCTGTGCTGCACTCACACACATGCACTCCAAAAATAAGAACGTATCTTATCTTAGCAAACAAGAAAGAAGCCTCTTTGAAAGGTAAATCATTATTTCTGGAGACTATCTGGGTAAATACAGCAATGATTTGGCCTATCTGTTGATCCAAAGGAAATAGCTATTAATTGTGTATTAATATATCAACTTTGGGACTCTATGAAGGGCCATTTCAGAAAAGATATGTGAATTCATCTGGGGACAGTGCCCACTCTCCAGTCATCCCTATATATTTTGGATATTTAACCCTTACCATTGAAACAAAAAAAATATGACTAGAATAAAAATTAAAAGAGAAGGAGAAATATACATGTGTGAATATGTCTAGGTGCTAATATATTCTTTCTGAATCTTAAAAAATTACCTTGTACACCTTCTGGGGATCTGTACTCCCTGAACTAATAGGCCAAGAAATGGAAATTTAATAAATGGTCTGGAACTGTGGCCAAAGTAGTCAGTTATTATCATAAGAAATAACTGAAACAATGAGTAATGTGACTTCTTATGTTTCCTGATCTTGGGACCACTTGCCAATTAATTTTTGTATTTGTCTCTTTAAGGTCAAACGTGGGTGTAGAGATGATGGCAAAGTTCAGTGCCATTACTGTCTCCAAGTGTAACTGTAAGTTTCCCCTTTGCGTGACTGATGGCTGGGGCTTCCCAGGTGGCCCAGCAGTAAAGAATCCACCCGCCAATGCGGGACACACGGGTTCGATCCCTGGGTCAGGAAGATTCCCTGCAGTAGGAAACGGCAACCCACTCCAGTATTCTTGCCTGGAGAATTCCACGAATAGAGGAACCTGGTGGGCTACAGTCCATGGGGTCGCAAAGAGACGGACACAACTGTGTGGCTGAGCACACACACACTTAGCACTCATCCCATTTACAGGGTTTTTCCTTCCTTGGAACTTGTTCACCACTACCAATCATATGTTACTCTGCTCATCAGGCTTGTCTGTGGTGGGCCAAGACACCAATTACCTAAGTGAATAAATGACTGGAATCCTAAACCTGATTCATAACCCTCATCATCAATCTCATCATTATCTATCAGGCAATGGATTACTTGCCCATCAGACACAGCAACATTCAAATGTCAAAACTCTCTCCCAGTTTGCACTCAGGTCTTACCTCCCCCAACCACCACCATTAGCACTTCTGTCATCACTACAAGCACAGTAATCACCATCTAGAAGTTTCTAACCTGCCATCTATAATTCAATTCATCCCAATTCCCCCCTCTTTGTCTTTGCCACCTTTCAAACCATTTGAACATATAAAATAGCATTTCCATACTTTTATTAATTTCTCTTCAATTTCTTTGGCTCAAAGTGTTAGCTGCTCAGTTGAGTCTGACTTTTTGTAACCCCATGGACTGTAGCCCACCAGGTTCCTCTGTCCTTAGAATTCCCCAGGCAAGAATGCTAGAGTGGGTCACTATTTCCTACTCTAGGAGATCTTCCTGATCCAGGGATCAAACCCAGGTCTCCTGTAATGCAGGCGGATTCTTTTACCATCTAGCCACTAGGGAACATACTAGGAAATCCCTATCGAAAACGATTTAACACAGGAACTTTGTGTCCATTTAAGTTCAGTATCAACAGCTCGCTAATTGCTACTAAACTCATTGACACTGAAGTATATTTATGTATCTACAGATGGAAATGGCATTTTTCACCCAGGATACACAAGGATACTTATGCCAGTTATTAAAATATTAAACCACTTCCTTTGGTTGGTGAATAGTCACAGCCCCAAGATTGCCAAGGATAAACACCTCAGTCCATCATATTTCCAGATTCTTCAGAAACCTGTGACTAATGGTCAATACCCAACCTATCCTGGATTCCCACGAGTCTGCTTCAGTCTACAGCCATATCCATGTGGATTGTCCAGGACTCAAACCAAATTAATTGTTAATTTTTTTATATCTCCTTGCACTTAGAGCATTAACAGTTTGATGGTAGCATTTAAGACACTATGACAGTATGTGATAAACTTTGACATAAATTGGGCTAAATGACAAGATAATTGAGTTTTCACTACTAAGTAAGAATTGATGTCTTTTCTCTCATAAGAAGGCAAACAAATATTTAAATTTTACCCAGAGGCCTTTTTCTCTGGGAGAAAACATGTTATCTATAATGAACATTAATGAGTATCACTTATAAAATTCTTATCAGAGAAAATTTTTTTCTGAAAACTATTCCATTAAGAGAATGATGCTTCAATAAGGTTTTCCCTCCACCCTCACACTCTATTAAAAGGATACCTAAAAAAGACAGTTGTTTCTTATTAAATACTCATGGATAAAGTGATACTTTAGAAGACCCTATCTTGTTGATTCTTTAGCAGAAAAGACAGTTCCAGTGAAAAGGCAATGCAAGTTTGGAATGGCATCCACAATTCCCAGTGGACATGTCTGGAAAGACACATGGAATCCTGTCTCCTGTAGTCTAGCTGCAATCGAAATGAAAGAATGCCTGAGAGGAAAATTTATATATCTATTGGGAGATTCCACGATCCGCCAGTGGATGGAATACTTCAAAAGCAGCATCAACAGTATGCCTCTGTCTGAGCTTTTACTCACATCCCTTTCAGAAACTTCGTTTTCATTTCAAGGGGAGAAAGGAATATGGGGAATGCCTCTTTCATATTTCTTAATCACAGCACATCAACACTTTTCCCAAGGTATTATCTTCTCTTTAAAAGAATACACTTATTGACTAGAAGGGAGCCAGGATAGAAAAATGTTTGCTCCATTCCTATTCCTGCAGAATTCAGACTTCAGTATTTACCCAGGATACTCAGAAAATCACGCACAGAGCTGATGATAACAAGATAGCATACTACCTTCCTTCTACAGATGGCATGATGATTATGGGTGTGGCTTCTACATCCAGATGTCCTGGGGTCAAAATAGGGCCTCTACCATCCTATCTGATAGCCTTGGGCAAGTGGCATAACTAGGATTTTGCCCTCGGTTTCCTCATCTGTAAAACGGAGATGAAAACAGTACCCACCTGGTAAAAATGAAGTACTATACACAACGTATTTAGAATAGTGCTGGCTACAGAGTTAGCTCTCTTCGGTGTGAGCCGTCATCAAGAGTATTGTTTCACAGAAGAACAGATGCTACAGTTGAGGTAATAACTTCATATCAGGTCGGCATAATAGTTAAATGCGGGGGCCTTGGAGCTTAACAAACCTAGACTATGACCTTGGGCATACAGCTTATTTTCCACATCAGTGAAATAAAAATAACAACAGCATCTGGTGATGGTTGTGAAGATTAAATGAAGTAATGGTTATAAAATATTTAACACATAGCAAGGCACATAGCGAGGCACTTAGAAAGTGCCCAGAAAACAATAGCTATTGCCTTATTACCATTGGTTCATATTAGAGTTGGGGCTAGAACCCATTTGCTAGAAGCCTAGTCCAGTTGCTCCTTTTACTAAACAAAGAATGCATCAATAATAACTCAGAATCCGCTAGTAGATCTTAGCACTGTTATCTGGAAAACAGTCACTGCCAGCCCTCTGTGTTCTGGGCCCTAGCTCTTACCACTGGGGACAGTGTAGCTTTAGTGTGGCTCCCCACTGGCCTTCCTAACATGAGGCCATTCTTGTGATCTCCAACTTAGAGAATAAGCTGATTCACTGAGTAAAAAGGGAAAATCAGTAGGACCTTGAACCCCCTGCAACAGAAGGGGAGAGTTTTTTCTTTTTTTTTATTGGAGAATACTAGCTTTACAATATTGTGTTATTTTCTGCTGTGCAGCAAAGTGAATCAGCTATCTATGTCTCCCCTCTTTTTTGGATTTCCTTCCCACTTAGTCTACCACACAGCGCTGAGTTCTGTAGGAACTATAGGATAATTCCCGGTGCTATACAGTAGGTTCTCATTAGTTATCTGTTTTATACATAGCAGTGTATATATGTCAATTCCAATCTCAAAGGGGAGAGTTTTAAGTTGTGACCCCTGATAAATGACTAATCTCCTCCAGATCTCAGTCTCCTCATCTATAAAATTTAGGATCTAGTGACAACTTCTAGCGTCACATTCAGCAATGGCGGGGTTGGGGTGGGTTCTTAGTTTTTGACAGTATTGAATTATTGACTTACCTACTTTCTTGACTGACCTTTGAAGCTGTGATAACAAAACATCTGTTACACATATTGTCAAAAGTTAAACTGTGTGGTTATTGTGTGCTTTGGAAAACAAAATTGAAATATGTTAGAAACAGAGTGAAGAAAACATTCTGCCAATTTCTTCCACCCAACCCTCCAGCATCACCATTTTCAAACCTCACTGGGTTAAGACTTTAAATGTAGCCCTTTACTTCTAAGTTGGTACTTGTTACAAAGCATTAATAATCATTTCCCACACATTTTCCTCAGATGTTCTAGCTACGAAGAAACTGGCCTTGATAGCCTAATTAATATAGTGAAAAATAAAGTGACTTCATTTTCTTCCATTCATATACTTTTCAAAAGTTTTAAGGCTGGGTAGATTACTTTCATAAGAATTAGGAGGAACTCCAAGTTTAAGGTACGGAGTCTGTTACTTACTAGTTGTATAATCTTGGCAGGTCATTTCATCTCTTGGTTTTCTTTTCCAGAAGATGGCAATTATATATATAGGGTTTCCCTGGTAGCTCAGTTGGTAAAGAATCAGCCTGCAATGCAGGAGACCCAGGTTCGATCCCTGGATGGGGAAGATCCCCTGGAGAAGGAAATGGCAACCCATTCTTGCCTGGAAAATCCCATGGACAGAGCAGCCTGGCAGGCTACAGTCCATGGGGTAGCCAAGAGTTGGACAGGACTTAACAACTAAATCACCACCACCATGCATATATATGGAGCTTTGAAGTAAATAAATATATCAGTCCTAATAAATATTTTGTAAACTGTTAAGTCCTTCTTGAATGAATAGCAATAATATTATAAATGATGCATGCAGTACCACTTCATGCATATGTAAAAGAAACACAGAAGTATAGGATACAATTCCAGTCTTTTTTTTTTTTTCCAGTTCCAGTCTTAATTGAACTTAAAAAGGACTTGGGGAAGTAGGTTTACTTTGAAATTTATAAACATCAACTGGCACCTTTCTCTATCTTCAAAGGAGTTTAGTCTATAGTTAACGAAGTGTCAAAACTAATACCCATGACTCGGCAGTCCATTCGGTTCTACATGGCTCTACAGAGAGGCAGATATAATTTATTTGTATAACACTTTTTGTTGTTCAATAATTTTCAAACTGGTCTGTCATTGAAACCTATAATAAATTAGTCAGGATTAACATTTAATTATAAACATCAAAATTTTTCTTCTATTTTTATGAACTTTATAACTTTATTATCCTTTCATTTTGGGATTTCTATCTGTCATCAGCGCTGAAGTCAGTGGATCTGCATGAATCTGGAAAATTTCAAAAGCAACTTGCTGTGGACTTGAACGAGAATATCAATATCCAGTGGCAAAAACATGGTTACCCCTTGATTGGATCATTGACCTATTCAGTCAAAGAGATTGAGTACATCGCCCAGGTTATTGACAGAATTGGAGGAGAAAAAAATACTATCATTGTTATTTCTCTGGGCCAACACTTCAGACCCTTTCCCATTGATGTTTTTATTCGAAGGGCCCTCAACATCCATGATGCAGTTCAACGCCTTCTTCTGAGAAGCCCAGACACTGTGGTTATCATCAAGGCAGAAAACATCAGGGAGATGAATGTTGATATGGAGAGATTTAGTGACTTTCATGGTTATATCCAGTATCTTGCCTTGAAGGATATTTTCCAGGATCTCACTGTGGGCATTATTGATGCTTGGGATATAACAATTGCATATGGCACAAATAATGTCCACCCGCCCCAGTCTGTAGTCAGAAATCAGATTAATATATTGTTAAACTTTATTTGCTAGATAACACATATCTCTGAAATTTATTCAGTTAATTAAAAACATCTATTAAGTGTTTGCTATCATGCCAGATGCTGTTGGCTCTGAACTCTCAATTAGCAAGAGAAAATCTGCACTATGGCTGATTTATTAATCAGCAATTCAGCCAAATCAGTTATTTCTAATTTGGGCTTCTACTTACAAATAAACACAAAAACACTTACGAAAAGGAGCTACCCTTCTTGATCAGAGTTAGGCCACTTTTCACAAACAGGAAGTCAAGATGCCTAATGGTTAAAAGCTGTCTCTGATTAATGGAAATTCAAAGCAATAAAGTCATTATAAGATAAATATTTGGAGAAAGCAATCTCATTTCCTTATTCCTCATAGCTCAGTTGGTAAAGAATCCATCTGCAGTGCAGAAGACCCAGGTTCTATTCCTGAGTTGGGAAGATCCCCTGGAGAAGGAAATGGCAACCCACTCCAGTATTCTTGCCTGGAAAATCCCATGGACAGAAGAGCCTGGCAGGCTACGGTCCATGGGGTCACAAGAGTTGGACACGACTTAGCGACTAAACCACCACCATCACCAAAACAAGCTCAAGATGATTTCCAGGACTTCCTTGGTGGTCCAGTGGTTAAGACTCTGCATTTCCAATGCAGGGGACATGGGTTCAGTTCCTGGTTGGGGAACTAAGATCCCACAAGCCGTGAGGCATGGCAGAAAAAAAAGGATGACTTTTAAGTAGAAGGGCAATTTCTTCGGTGGTTCAGTATTAAAGACTCCACCTGCCAATGCAAGAGACACTGGACACACAGGTTCAAGCCCTGGGTCAAGAAGATCCCCTGGAGAAGGAACTGACAGCTTCTCCAACATTCTTGCCTGGAAAATCCCATAGACAGAGAAGTCTGGCAGGCTACAGTCTTTGGTGTCAAAAAGGCGTCGGACAGAACTCAGTGACTAAATACCAAGGAGTAGAAGAGAAGTCTTATGAGGCCATGCTCCATGTGCAGAGTCCTGAGGGAAGAGAGGGACTGCAAATGCTGAAGTAAAGTCTTTGACTTTTCTCTTACTGTAGAGATTCCCCTGCTAGGAATTAATCTATTCTATAGAATCTATCCTTCAGAAATACAGGATAAAACAGTCAAAGGCACCGTGCTCTAGGATTCGGGGAGCTGGGCTTCAGTCCTTGCATTGACAATAAGTTTATAACTTTGGATAAGTCACTTCAGCTCTCTGGGTTCAGTTTCTCAAAGGAAGGGGTTAATATGAGATTTGTGATTTTCAAACCTTGCTCTGTACAGCGTGGGTAGCATAGGTGGTCTCCAGGTGCTACCTGGAAGGACAGGAGTTGGGAGAAGTGCTCGGTGAGCAGGGTACCAGTTTTTCCATGCCACTTCAGTTGGAGCATCAGCCATTTTTACCAAGCTCTGTATTGGGCTTCTGGGTGGCCTTTGATTTGAAAAAAGTTCCACTGCTTAAAATATGTTAGGAAACCATTATGATAATCAACAACACTGACTTCTATAATCTATACATATAGGTTACTATTTCAGTTACTCTTACTTGCATTTTAATAGGCCTTCCCAAAATTTGACCCAAAAAGAATGATATTGAATTCAACTGAATAGAATTCAGAGAATTTCAGTTGAATGGGGCAATAAAATTATTACAAAGCAACTTGGTATTATATTCTTCCTTAATTTTTTCCTCTTAACCATGCCCCAGCTGTTACTGGGCCTCTGACCTACTCTTGCTGCATCTAGGAAAAGACAATTATAATAGGAACATCTTAAATCCATTTATTCAGTTTCCTCCAGGAAAGGGATAATAATTTTTTTACTTGTTTGCCCATGAGCCACAATTCACAGTTCAGCGCACAGTAAACAGATGGTCAGAAATATTAAGTCTCTTATCATGTGCCAGGAACTATTCCAGTCTTTAGGGATACACTAGCCAAAAGGCATGTGAATTCTCTGACATCAAAGAATCCTTATTGTAATAAAGAAAAAGATAAACCAAAAAAAAGATATTAAAAAATCCATAATACCATAGTAGTATGAACAAAGTATATGGTATACTACAAAGTAGTATAACAAAGTATATAATAGGGCAATATGACAGAGTAATGGCATGCTGGTGAAGGAGATGACTAGTTAGAGCAGTTAGAAGAGGCAAGTCAGAGGATAAGGTATTTCAAAATAATGGAAAGTAGGCATCCATGAGACAAAGTGGAAACAGTGATCTTTAAGAAAGATGGAAAGTGCCAAACCCTTAAAACATGATAGAGCTGGACTTATTAGAAGACCATTATGTCTGGAGTGTTGTCAGTGGAGGGAAAAGAAGTTAGGGAGGAAGGCAAGGCCAGGTCACATGTGGCCTCTGCAGCCTATGGCAAGGAGTTTGAATTCTATCCTAATTACAATGGGCTTCCCAGGTAGTCCTAGTGGTAAAGAATCCACCTGCCCATGCAGGAGATTCAAGAGATGCAGGTTCAATCCCTGGGTTGGGTCGGGAAGATCCCATAGAGCAGGAAATGGCACCCCACTTGAGTATTCTTGCCTGGAAAATTCCATGGGCAGAGGAGTGTGGTGGGCTACAGTCCATGGGGCCACAAAGAGTCGGATGTCACTGAACACTCCTAATTATAATGGGAAGGCAGTTGATGGGGGGAGAAAAGGAAGGAAGGAAAATAAGAGAGAGGGTGGGAAAGAGAGAAGGAAGAAAAGAAGGAAAAAAGGAACAAAGAGAAGGAAAGAAGGAATAGGAGGGAAGGAGGGGGAAAGCAAGAAATACAGGGAGAGAGGGAAGAAGGAAAGAAAGGAAGGAGGGGAGGGAGTGAGGGACTGTTAACTCAGGCATCACCACAGACTGCTATAGTTGCCAAGGTCAGAATGAATAAGAGTTGTGAAACTATGGAACTTTGGAACAGCATCTGTTTTCTTCTATTAATAAAGTGACTTTCCATTACCACTCTCCAACTGGGTAAGGCTGGATAAGGGTCACTGAAGGTCTTGCTAAAAGGGCAGATTTTTTTTTTAAGAACACAGAGGACTATCATTTTAGAAGAAGGACAAAAATAAGGAGGTGACCCACAGATTTTTTTTTTTTGAGAAAGTAAAAAAGGAGAAATATACATTGTAATGTGTGAACCCTAAGAAGAAGTGTAAGCTCAGGATAATGCATTTGGAATGACATTTCTCAGAAGTTGGCACTTCCTGGGGAAATCCAAGAAGGGTGAACAGTTCTTCCCAAAATGAATCATTATAAACACAGAGGTAACTACTGCCAAGTCTGCTTGATGTGTGATGGTCATTTCCTGTCTGAGATGATCACCCAGTCTGTTTATAGCAAGCACAAGTTGATCTTCCAACAGGAGAAACAAGTAAAAAAGACTGGCACACAGCCTCTTGGACAGAATGGACTCTTAGACAAGACAGATAAATATTCCTAACGGAAACAAAGAGGTAAATATTTCCAAGGGAAATTATTATCACAAAGCAAGGATGTTAAAGAGCAGACTGAGAAGAAACAGACGATAAAGAATTACATGTATAAGGATCTTTCCTAGGAGGTTTCAAAAAGTGTTATATTTCAAGTATCCATGGGTGCTGAATTCTTGAAGTTATAATCTCTCATGTCATCCTATGGATTCAGATAGGACATAGAAACCACATAGTGGGCTAAGCAGGGAAAATCTGATACAAAAAATTAATAACTCAGATAAACAAGTGACTAAGATAGAAGGAATTTTTTTCTGGTTCCCTTAGGGAAGAAGGAGGGTATCCAAGGAAGGAGCAACTTGTACGGGGCTCTCACCGAGGCTGGAATTCAGAACTTGCTGGGGAAAGTATAGTTCAGCCCAAAGGGCAGCAGAAGATGACTGGCTTGTCCAGGTCACAGATGGTCTGCAGTTGCTGGGCAAGCAGAAATCGACCCTCTGTGGTGTGAGTCGGGTACAGGTGACCAGCAAGCAGGTGTGTGGACATGCAGAGCAGGACCAAGACAGCCAGTGACCTGCAGAGGGAACCAATGCCTGTGCAAGCAGGAAACTTCCACCAACAGGAAGCCACAAGGTGTCATTCTCTATGTAGCAAAGGCCAGGGAAGGTTGTCTCAGGGCCAGGACAAGCCTACAAGGTCACCAAGAAATCGCCTGGCTCTAGGAACAAGACAGGAAGTGCTCCACCGGAAGTCTCCACATCCACAACACCCACTCCCTGCATGGTCACCAAAAGAGGATAGCACCTTCCTCCCGCAATGTTCCTCCAGTGCCCTCTGCTGACAAAGCTCGACAATGTGCTCACTGTAAGGAGAGATGCTCGGAAGGGTTCTGTCTATCATAGCAGTGCACTATCCTGGGGGCTTCCCCGGTGGCTCAGAGGGCAAAGCATCTGCCTACAATGTGGAAGACCCGGGTTCTATCCTTGGGTCGGGAAGATCCCCTGGAGAAGGAAATGGCAACCCGCTCCAGTTCTCTTGCCTGGAAAGTCCCATGGATGGAGGATCCTGGTAGGCTACAGTCCATGGGGTCACAAAGAGTCTGACACGACTGAGCAACTTCACTTCACTTCATCATGTGTTACATAGATAGCCAGTGGGAAGCTGCTGCATTACACAGCGAGCTCAAATGGGGCTTGGAAGCGGCTCTCCCCAAGGCTGAGATGACCTAGAGGAGTGGGGTGGAGTGGGGTGGGTTGGGGTGGGGTGGGGTGGGGGTGAGGGTGGGACAGAGGATCAAGAGGGAGGGGATATATGTACACATGTAGCTAGTTCACTTTATTGAACAGCAGAAATGAACACAACATTGTAAAGAAATTATACACCAATAAAAAATATGTATTGAGGGGTGAATTTGGACTTGAGAGGCAATACATTGCTAACTGTCACAGTCATCAACCCACTCCTTTTATGGGCCATTTCCTTAGGAAAACAAACATGACCATGCTCTAATAATAGCTATACTAGTTTGCATCTTTAAAAAAAACAAAGGTAAATAGAAACTTATAAATCCTCTGATATTA